CCTACAGTGATAGAGAAAAGATGCAACAGAACAACATCGCCAGTCGGAAGACAACTGGCCTATCACGAACAGTGCTGCTACGTTGATACCCACATACCGCACCTACACTGACAGGACACACCTTGTTCATCGTATAGGTTATCGCTGTACTTTGATCGTTTTTTGTCTAAACAGAGTAATAAAAGATGTTTGACGATGTTTTTAAAAGAGGGCTATAGGCCGAGCAGACCGTTTGTAGAGTCCAGTTGTGGGGGTGGCCATGTTAGAGTTTTCCAAAGCGGTTAACCCATTATATTGAGTCAAAATTTGAAGTTTTCTTTTTGATTGTTGTATTTTTGGGGGGGCTTAATAGAGTAAGAAAACAAGTCTTTCGATGTTAAGACTGCTAAAAAGGCCAGAAAAAACCTCTTTATAAGGAGTTTCAGTCGCTTTATACTCGCCGGGAAAATAATACCTGCCGTCCTTAACAGTCATTAATATTCACAGTTTATGCATGTAATATAACAGCGTAACTATAATCCCCCTGCACCTTAATTGTTAGATTGATTTCTCTGTTGCAGAAGAGAAAAGAAGTTTTTTTTTAAAACATTGGTATCGCAGGAACAGGGCTATATTAGCTTATATTTGATCAGTTAACAGATCTGTAATTAAAATGATAAACGTGAAGCGCATTAAGATGCGCAAGTTCTCCCTCAGAGAAACTTCGTGTTTACACGAGGACATTTAACGTTAGCGGATAATTTTAATGCAGTGATGAGAAAAGCATTACTATAATGAATGATAATAAAAGATAATGTATGGATATTTTCTGAGTTTAAAACTGAAGCTGATGCGTTAAACGTTTGTACTCATACAGTTAAACATGAAGTTCAGTTTCATATTGTTGTACGTTGGTCGGTTAAGGGAGACATTCGTTAGCGCAAGAAGATAATCGGAATTGGTACTCAAGAAGAGCATACTGTAGACCTGTACTGTAGGGCTTAAGCTGTACGAGTATTGAGGAAGCTATAGCAAGAACAAGCTCCCGTGGGCGATTTTGTAAAATATACCTCCCTTGCCCGAGAAATACGGTTTCAAGTAAAATATAGATAGTGATGTCATTTCTCTATGGCAGCTCCGATGTCAATATAATTCTGTTAATGGCAATTTTTAATCTTTGTCTGATATAGAGAAATACGGTTGCAAATAAAATAGATAACGATGTCATTTCGTTGCTAAGGCAGCTCCTGTGGCACTAAAATTCTTTTAAAGGCAATTTTTAATCTTAGTCTGATGTAGAGAAATACGGCTACAATTAAAATAGATAATGATGTTATTACGTTGCTATGGTCGCTCTGACGTCAATATAATTCTATTAATAGCAATTTTTAATCTTTGTTTGATGTAGAGAAATATGGCTGGAAATTAAATAGATAATGCTTTCATGACGTTGGTACGGCAGCTCCGATGTCACTAGAATACTGTTAATTAGAATTTATTTATTCCTGATGCAGCTTTGGTGATCGTTTTCATATATTTTAGGGGCGGATCACTTGCCCACTAGCCAGCTATATAGATACTTTTCATTTTTCTGATAATTTTATAAAGATATACAAAATATCAATTAAAAAAAAAAAGGGTGGCCTCGGCCCCCTCGTCCCACCCCTAAATCTGCTCTTGAGTTTTGAGACATAGTATGCCAAGGATAAAATTCGTCGAAGACTATAAAAAAAATCTTTATTTTTGTAAAGTTTTCATCCAATCCTGAACATGAGCTTTTTTTTTTTTGTAATGGCGACTTTGTTAATGCTCAAACATGGGAGGTATTGCCGCCGGGTGAAACAGGCTTCAGTCGAGCCACTTTGAGAGTCCCTCTTTTTGCTGGATTTTTTTTTGTGTACCATAGAACAGCGATAGTATATAGATTTAGCCAGGGCTAAAAGCGAAGCTCTGGTTAATAATACGTGTAAACAAAAGAAATTAAATCGTGTAACGCTAAACGGGGGACGACAATGAAAATGGCTTCAAGACTAATAGATCTAATTAGCAAAAAAACAAATTGCACCTGCAGTACACTTTTTCTTCTAATTAGCAAAAAGCAAATTTGCGCGTGCAGTACCCTTTTTTGTCTTTCCCTTGCCGTTGTTTTGCACGACTACAACACTGTTTTGTACGACTAAAACGTCAAACGTCCTAGTTACACACCATTTTTATGGAGAAATTGTCGTATGTGCATACCCAATATTTTGTTTCCAGTGTTCATGTTCGCTTTTATTTTTCACTGCCGCTCATTTTCACCTTGCTGGCCGCTAGCATTTTTCATTTTCTCACCGCCGCTTGAATTTCCATGTTTTTCTTCCAACGAATTTTCAATAACTCGCTCTAGCTCTTTCTCTGTTATCAACGTTAGTGTACACATAAAAAATAACGCCGAAAAAGACACGACTTTTTTCTTTCTAAAAGTCCGGGCGGCCATGTGATTTCCTTCCAAATAAAACCTTGAGTTGCATTTGGGTTCCCATACCTGTTGATTGAGTTATTTTACATTGGTATGCCTGTGGTGCGGACGGACGGTCGCTCGCTCGAAACACCGCGGCAAAACGCATTGCGCATGAGCACAAAATTTAACATCCGGTCAGCTTTTTATTTCCGGTCTGGTATATAAACCAATTGAGTAAGCATAACATTGCCGCCGCGCTAAGTTTGAAAGCAAAAAGGGAGAAACAGACAAAAAAGGGGGCGAAAAAAACCACTTCATTCGAAAGCTTATGTATTTTTCTGGTGTCAAACGTTTGTACCACATGGTTATCTGTTTGCACCAACGGTCAAAATGATGTTTGAAGTTTGCAGGTCGCGAGCGCTCGACAAGACGAAGTTGTTTTTACTGGCTTTCTTGAATGCTACTGGTTTGGCATAAGTTGATTTGGGAGAAGGCGATAACTAAGAAAAGAATTGCAATACTTATGAAAGAAACCAAAAAAAGCCGTCATCATTATCATTCACACTAGAACCAGGAAATAAAGTTTTAGTCCGTTCAACAATTTGTTTATCATCAGAGAAAACAACAACTCAAAACAAAAGATGTGCGGGATTTAATAACAACCTCGACTTCGATGACTGCAGTCACGAACACCCGGAGCTTTCAGTGCTGGGAAACTAAACATGCCTATAAATGACTTTCATTCAAGAAAATGCCTATTTAATTCTTTTACATGGTTGTTCTTTGGTTGTTCTTTGGTCAGTGAAGACTTCAATAATTTCAGACTGTGCGGCTTGGCTGCATCTCATGCAAACACGAAACGTTCAGCTGCTAAATACGAGGCATGAAAATTTCGACTTCTAAAAGCCATCGAACCAGCTTTCTCTATCTGATTCTGAGAATGAAAAAAATTAATAGAGTTGTCAACTTGCTGCCAACCTCAACAGTATAATTAAGCTTACGTTTCATGGCAATCAACTCAGAAGAGTTTCGTTTCAAAACACGGTAAAACTCACTGGTAAATAAAAGTACAAAGCGATTGTGTGTTGTCGTTTTCCAAATAAATCTCGAATCGGCTTTAAGGCATGAAGACAGAGAAACTGAAGAACTGAAAATTAGAACTCAATAAACAAGCTTGCAATGATAGTTTTTTATGTCTTAGTTTCAGCCAGGTTAAGTGAAAAATAACAGTCAAAACCTTTGTTTTCGTGAATGAAAATCAGTTTACCTGACGCTCTAGCCAAAATTACACACCGAGTTATTATCATCTTACCTTTTCTGAATCTAATCGAATAATTGTTTCAGTGATCGGTGCCTGGTTATCCATAAAAGCAATTTCAATAACTACAAAATAGTCAAAAACACGAGCAGCATGAAGCAGAACAACTGAACCACAAGCTGCACACACAGAATGAAGCCGAACGCGCGCGGGAGACTTTGATCTGACTGGCAAGTGTGACTGAAAAAGAGACCGGAAATGCTCAACCTGGCGCATGCGTAGACGTTTTGCCGCGGTGTTCTCGCTCGATCGCTCGGTGTACGGTCACATGATTACCAAATTTTCTGGTATGGGTAGATTGCCACATTTCCCTAGCTATGGGGCTCCGCCCACGCGCGCGCTTCGCGCGCAGGTGGAGCTCCGCTATTATGAGCCATTTTGTAACGAACCGCTCCTCTATCCAACAACGAATGAGGTCCTTTACTCCAGTTGTCGTAGATAGTTTTAGCAGGACACCAATACAACATCCTCTATTATATGTTAATGTTGATAATGAGAATGAAAAGAATATATTATATGCACTTTAAACAAGTTATCAGAAAGGAAGAAATTCATTACCAAAGATCCAAAGATAATTATTGTCTCTTACTGAGGAGATCTAGATTAGTGGTGCAGGAAGTTTTAATAATGCAGAAGTCAAAATACTTAGACAAGAAGTCCATTGCGAAGCAAATTTCAACAACTTCTGTGAAATATTTTTGGTGGTAGCAGAGATGGCAAAATACGTTTTTGGCCATTTTCTCTTAACCTTCATTGTGCATGTAAAGTAGCGTTCCTTTGAGAAGCGTTTCTTGACGTTTATGCCATAATTAGTTCTCTAGCGAGCAGTGAAGTGAACATGTCACCCTGAACTACTACTATACATATTTTGTTCTAGTTAAAATGACTGCGTATCTCCTTCCTTGTGGGTTGTTAACCTCTTCTTTGCGTGTACCCCGTACCCTATTTTATGAGGTTCATCGTCAGATAAGTATGTAGTAGTTAACATTTTTTGCTAGGTCTCAGCAAAGTCAACCTGTCTAAAAAATATTACGAACCAGCGAAAATGATAATTTTGATGCAACAGCAGGTGAATTAGGGGTCTAAGTATCTTTTAATTTAACTTGCCAGTTTCTGTGTAGATCCATTAAAAATAGATTTGCTATATCGTTCATAAGCTGGTTTGTTCGAGAAAGTTCATCTTTTGTTGCTTTGCAGCTGAAGAAACCGAACTGAAATCGCCATTTCTTTTGCATTAGGCCTAATCGGTGGCTTTTAACACCAATGGCAATACCACCCAGAGTAGGGATATTTTTAATAGCCCTGAACATTTTCCTTTCCATCTTTGCAACTCTGGGCAATGTTCTAATCCTAGTTGCTCTACGAAACGTTTCCTCCATTCATCCACCGACGAAGCTCCTATTTCGATGTCTGGCGATAACTGATCTTTGTGTTGGTCTTCTTGGTCAACCACTTTACATTTACTTTTGGTACATTACAATCTTTCTTGATATTGGTAACCGCATCGTAGAACTAGTTTACTTATATCTCTTTATCATTCGCGTGTTGGTTGCGGTATCCATCCTAACAGCGGCTGCCATCAGTGTTGACAGACTTCTTGCTCTCTTATTGGGACTGAGATACAGACCCGTTGTAACTTTACGCCGAGTTCGTGTGGTCATAACCTGTGTTTGGTTCATTGCTGTTTCAAACGCTTCTTTGTACTGCGTGGGTTCGATCCTATTTCATTATGAGTCATTACTTGCCTCGTGGTGGACCTACCGAGCTTTTATCATTTTTTCTATAATAGTCTCAACATTTTCGTACACGAAGATTTTTCTCACCCTCCGTCATCAACAAGCTCAAGTGCAAGGTCATGTTCAACCAGAACAGTCGAGCACTGTAAGAAGTGTACTGAACATAGCACGATACAAGAAGACAGTGTATAGCGTAGCTTGGATACAGTTAGCTATGTTTGCTTGTTATGGTCCTAACATCGTGATGGCATTTCTTTGGAATTTTGGAAATATAGATCATTCCACTGAAGTAATGGTCGCGGGTGAAGTTTCCCTTTGTCTCATCTTTTTAAATTCATCTCTGAATCCAGTCCTTTACTGTTGGAGAATCAAAGATATCAGACAGGAAGTGAAAAACCTCATTCGTAAGTGTCTTTGCTGTTGAGTTAACCTACAGTGATAGAGAAAAGATGCAACAGAACAACATCCCCAGTGGGAAGACAACTGGCTTATCACGAACAGTGCCGCTACGTTGATACCCACACACAGCACCTGTACTGACAGGACAGACCTTGTTGTTCGTATAGGTTATCGCTGTACTTTGATCGTTTTTTGTCTAAATAGAGTAATAAAAGATGTTTGACGATGTTTTTAAAAGAGGGCCAAAAAGGCCGCACAGACCGTCTATAGGGTCCAGTTGTGGGGTTGGCCATATTAGATTTTTCCAAAGGTGTTAACCCATTATATTGGGTCAAAATTTGAAGTTTTCTTTTTGATTGTTGTTGTTGTTGGTGTTTTTTTGCTTAATAGAGTAAGAAAAGAAGTCTTTCGATGTTAAGACTGCTAAAAAGGCCAGAAAAACCTCTTTATAAGGAGTTTCAGTCGCTCTATACTCGCCGGGAAAATAATACCCGTTGTCTTAAACAGTCAATAATATTCACAGTTTATGCATGTAATATAACAGCGTAACTATAATCCCCTTGCACCTCAATTGTTAGATTGATTTCTCTGTTGCAGAAGAGAAACGAAGTTTTTTTAAAACATTAGTATCGCAGGAACAGGGCTTTTTTAGCTTATATTTGATCAGTTAACAGATCTGTAATTAAAATGATAAACGTGAAGGGCATTCAGATGCGCAAGTTCTCCCTCAGAGAAACTTCCTGTTTACACAAGGACAATTAACATTTAGCGGGTAATTTTAATGCAGTGATGAGAAACCATAACTATAATGAATGACAATAATAGATAATGTATGGATACTTTCTGAGTTAAAAACTGAAGCTTATGCGTTAAAAGTTTGTACTCATGGGGTTAAAAATAAAGTTCAGTTTCCGATATCGTTGTACGTTGGTCGGTTAAGGGAGACATTCGTTAGTGCAAGAAGATAATCGGAATTGCTACTCAAGAAGAGCATACTGTAGACCTGTACTGTAGGGCTTAAGCTGTACGAGTATTGAGTAAGCTATAGCAGGAAAAAACTCCCGTGAGCGATTTTGTAAAATATACCTCCCTTGTCCGAGAAATACGGTTTCAAGTAAAATATGGATAGTGATATCATTAATAGCAATTTTTAATTTTTGTTTGATGTAGAGAAATACGGTTGCAAATAAAGTAGATCAGTAATGCTTTCATGACGTTGGTCTGGCAGCTCCGATGTCAATAGAATGCTGTTAATTAGAATTTTTTTATCTTTGTCTGATGCAGCTTATGCAGGGCGGACATTATTGATGGATGCATTAGTTCTGTTTACTCCTTTTACAACTGCATGATATTCAGTTTGGACCGGTCACCGGTCAGTCGTCAGTGGTAGAGACTACACCTATATTACTTGTGTGTTTTCTTTAAACGACAATTTCAATTGTATTTCAACATTAAAAAGGAAAACTTCCCTAAAATAGCAGGGCTAATGTAGGCGTTTTTTCAGAAGAAAAAAATGACCTTCTGTTGACTAGATGTAAAACTCGCGGCTTAAGACACTTAAGTGTTGTACAAGGTATATATAAAGTCGAGTCAATTGGCACAAGTATCTCATTTAGCGCCTTAGGACTCTTCAGTTTCATGTTGTGGTACGAAAAATATGTGCCCTGGTAGAAAATAACGTTTGCACAGAGCTTTAGGCATATATTTATGTCAGGGATTCGAGAAGAACTAAGCAGTTGTAATAAGCTGTTTGCTAATTTGCTTTAAAGAAACAAACACTGTATGTTAAAACTGTGAAACGCAGTTTGAATTGTTCTTCTTATGAGGTGTTGGTTATTAAACCCCTGAATGGGAAGCACATGCCTTTCACTTTTTATTTGTTAGCGAAAACCTGACGCCTGGTTAATTGATTCAAATGAAAGCTTTCAAAACGATCGTCTTGCAATTTTAGTTAGCTTTATTAAGCTTATCGTTATTGGAAGTGAAATCGGATGAAAATGAAAAGAGACGACGCGTCGACGCACTGTGCGCCTAAATTTTAAAACCAAAGAAGAAGATTTAGATGTGACATTGTAAATAAAAATTATTGGGTACGTTTGGACGAACGATGAAAAGTGTAGTAAACAATTCCCAGCGGGTGAAAAAAATGAATAAATTAATATTCAACATATAAAACCCGTTGCACCTTAACCGCCAAATTAATTTCTCTGTTGCGAAAGAAAAAAGAAGAAGTAAACATTTTAAGAACATTGGCAACGTAGCTGACATGTACTCGTTTAGAAATAACGCTATATTTCGTAAGTGAACATGTCTATAGTTAAATGAGCGTCCTCAGATGGCCAAGTTATCTCTTGAAAATTTTTTTGTTTACACAAGGGCTGTTGATGTTTAGGAGGTGAATGTGATGAGAATATGATAAATGATCATGGCGATTTCCGTTTGAAACCAGGTGTTTCCGAGGAAAAAGAAAAGCGCGAGGCTTCGTAAAGCGAAAATGGACTTGTGGCCGTTTTTAACATACAAAACAGCTTCGTCAAAATGAATAAGAACTGCTGCGAAGTTTACTTTAGTGGTACAGAACTCTTCTTTCTTGTGTCATGCTGAATATTGCAGCATCGAAGAGAAGGAAGTTGAAAGTGTAAATCACCTAAGATGTAGAATACCCTTAAAAGGGAGTATTTTTTTTTTCAAATAGTGTCTTAGTAGCAATACCCAAATAGAAACATACTGATTTGCGAACCGAAATTGATTTGAAAATTTTTAGTTATGTAGTTCACTTTCATGTCCTTTGAGGTTTCTTCATTAAACTGTTGGAAACCGTAATTCTCCTAATAACCGATCTTAATTTGTCGGTCGGAGTTGGAGTTTGCATGTTAAGTAATGGATATTTTAGCTGGCAGTCGTGATTAAACTTTTTCTAGCCAATTATTAGGGCGGGTCTATTTTAATTGCAAATGTGCGATGCTAACTTATGACTTAAACAACACCATACAGACTCTAATTATGGTCTATATTAAAGTTTTATTCACAACACTCATATTCAATAGTCTATATTGACTGCGCTTCTGTCAATATCTCAGGCAGAGCATTTTATTTCTAAATTGTCAGTGTATTTAGCAAGAAACTGCTAATTGAGGACGTCTCCTTTTATGTCTCCTACTCCAAGCAAAGGTCTGGCTTGTTTGCAGAGCAAACTCAGTATACCCTCATTTCTCAATTATCGTAAGACCCTGAATAGTGGTGCGGCCCCAGAGATCCCCCCCGCGACCATCCGCTCTGCAGACAATCGCTGTGCCGCCTGTGCTACTGCTGCTGCGGTAATTACCCGGGGGGCTTGATCAATAAAGTTTTATGCGGGGAGACTCCGCCCGGAGGTCCGTCCAACCCCTTATTCTTTTACATACCATTTTGAGAGAAAAGGTACCCCTTTCCTATGCCTTCTTTTGACAAATGATACGATACCCCTTTCTTATAATCAATTTAGAATTTTGCCTCCCTTTCAACCAGTGTAAAGGCACTGCATTTGAAATATGAATTTATCACAAAACCAGAACGTTTTCCCGACTTTTTCACAGCTTTAGAATAAATCTGTTAGCCCTTTTGGGCCTTTTTACGTACCGAAATAACCCGATTACCCTACACTTTCATATACTTCAACCAGTAAAATCCCCTCCCTTTCATATACCTGAAGCCTGAAAAAGGTTCCCCTTTCAGGCGGAGCCTCCCCGTATAGGCCATTGTACTGAGTATCCCACTCCCTGCCACCCCCGAGGGGTAAATAGTGAGGTAATAGGAAGATACCGCTTAGTGATGGGTGCACAGTCTATCTTAAATTAGTTATTACCGACGAAAGTGAAGTCCTGGCGAGTAAAACAAACCACCGGATGTTACGTTTTGACTTATAGTGGAGAGTTACATATCCGCAGTACAGGTGTTGATACTATACCAGATAACACGAAAAACAATCCACTATAGCGTGTAATAGCCTTAGTATTCCGCCCTTTTTGGTTTATTGCTGTTTTAGATTTAAAGGTAAATGATACACATGTAGGAAGACACCTTTCTAAAGTGCTTCAGAAATTGCCCTGAAAATTCAGTCGAGCCACCTTGAGAGTCCATTTTCTTGGTGGACTCTTATTGTACCGTTGAACACCGATATAATGAGTCGTTTTATATCGAACAGCTCCTTTATGCGACAACGAATGAGATTTTTTACTGCAGTCGTCACAGGACCCCAATACAACATTTCTTATTATGCTAAAAAAACAATTTAGAATTAAGAAAGAAAGTCATTAGCAAACGGGCAGAAATTAATTGGTAACTGCTATTACCCAGGAAATGCAGATGTTTATGCAGGAAGTGGTAATAATGCAATTGTCAAAATACTAATACAAGAATATGAGTAGCAAATTTCAACATCTACTTAATATTCTTGGCTGAAGCCTATATGGCTATATACGTTTTGACCAGTTTCTATTAGCCTTCATATCACCTGTGACATAGTGGCTTAAAACTGAGAAGCGTTTCCCGACGTTTGTGTCTCAATTAGTTCTTTAGCGAGCAACAAAGTCAACATGTCAACCTGAACTACTACTCAATAATTTGTTCTAGTTGAAGTGACAGCATATCTCCTTCACTGTGGTTTGTTAACCTCCAATTGGTGTGTGCCCCTATTTTACGATATCCATGCCGTCAAAGTAGATATAACATCTTATTTTGTATTAATTTTTTTGGATAGTTCTTTAGCGAGCAGCAAAGTCAACCTGTGTTAAAAATATTAGGAATCGGCTTAATTGACACGTTTGATGCAACGACAGGTTAATTTGGAGTTAAGTATTTTTAAATTTATTTGCCAGTTTCTGTGTAGGTCTATCACAAAGTGAATAAATTTCCTATTTCGTTGAAAAGCTGTTTGTCCGAGGAAGTTCATCTTGTTCAGCTTTGCAGCTGAAGAAACCTAACGTTAACTCAAATCGACATTTCTTTTCCATAAAGCTTAATCAGTGGCTTTCAACACCAATGGCAATCAACACGAATGGGACATTTGTAACAACGAAGATACCATCCGGAGTATGGATATTTCTTATAGTCTTCAACAATTGAACCTGTCTAAAAAGTGTTATGAAAGTAACTGATACGTTTCATGCAACAGGACGTGAATTTGGAGTCTAAGTCTACTTTTTAATTTAACTTGCCAGTTTCTGTCAAGATCTATCACAACTGAATTAACTATTTCGTTCACAATCTGTTTTGTCCGAGGAAGTTCATCCGCCTTCTGTAGCCTTACAGCTGAAGAAACTGAACGTTAACTCAAATCGACGTTTCTTTTTCATAAAGCTAAATTGGGGGCTTACAACACCAATTGCAAACAATGCGAATGAGACATTTGTAGTTACGAAGATGCCGCCAGGAGTTCACATATTTCTCGGCATATCCTTAAACATTTTTCTTTCCATCTGACTGATATCGGCGTTTCTTTTGCGTAAAGCTTGATCGGGGTTTTCAAAACCGATGGCAAACAACACTAACGGAACTTCTGTAATAGCGAAGATACCATCCGGAGTATGGATATTTCTTACAGCCCTGAACATTTTTCTTTCCATCTTTGCAACTCTGGGCAATGTTCTAATCCTAATTGCTCTACGAAACGTTTCCTCCATTCATCCACCGACGAAGCTCCTATTTCGATGTCTTGCGATAACTGATCTTTGTGTTGGTCTTCTTGGTCAACCACTTTACGTTTACAATATGTACATTACAAACTATCTTGATATTGGTAACCGCATCGTAGAACTGGTTTATGTATGTGTGTTTATCATTAGCGTGTCGGTTGTGGTATCCATCCTAACATCGGCTGCCATCAGTGTTGACAGACTTCTCGCTCTCTTATTGGGCCTGAGATACAGACACGTTGTAACTTTATACCGAGTTCGTGTGATCATAGCTTGTGTTTGGTTCATTGCTGTTTCAAACGCTTCTTTGTACTGCGTGGCTTCGATCCTATCTCATTACAAGTTAGAACTTGCCTCGGTGTGGACCCTCCGAGCTTTTGGCATTTTTTCTATAATAGTCTCAACATTTTTGTACACGAAGATTTTTTTCACCCTCCGTCATCAACAAGCCCAAGTGCGAGATCATGTTCAACCAGAACAGTCAAGCAGAGTAAGAAGTGTACTGAACATAGCACGATACAAGAAGACAGTGTATAGCGTAGCTTGGATACAGTTTGCTATGCTTGCTTGTTATGGTCCTGACATCGTGATGGCATTTCTTTTGCATTTTGGAAATGTAGGTTATTCCACTGAAGTAGTGATCGCGGGTGAAATTTCCCTTTGTCTCATCTTTTTAAATTCATCTCTGAATCCAGTCCTTTACTCTTGGAGAATCAAAGATGTCAGACAGGAAGTGAAAAACACCATTCGTAAGTGTCTTTGCTGTTGAGTTAACCTACAGTGATAGAGAAAACATGCAACAGAACAACATCCCCAGTGGGAAGACAACTGGCCTATCGCGAACAGTGCCGCTACGTTGATACCCACACACAGCACCTATACTGACAGGACACGCCTTGTTGATCGTATAGGTTATCGCTGTACTTTGATCGTTTTTTGTCTAAATAGAGTAAAGATGTTTGACGATGTTTTTAAAAGAGGGCTAAAAAGGCCGAACAGACCGTTTATAGAGTCCAGTTGTGGGATTGGCCATATTAGATTTTTCCAAAGGTGTTAACCGATTATATTGGGTCAAAATTTGAAGTTTTCTTTTTGATTTTTTTTTTTTTGGCTTAGTAGAGTAAGAAAACAAGTCTTTCTATGTTAAGACTGCTAAAAAGGCCAGAAAAAATCTCTTTCTAAAGAGTTTTAGTCGCTTTATACTCGCCGGGAAAATAATACCCACTGTGTTTAACAGTCATTAATATTCACAGTTTATGCATGTAATATAACAGCGTAACTATAATCCCCCTGCACCTTAATTGTTAGATTGATTTCTCTGTTGCAAAAGATAAGAGAAGTTTTTAAAAAAACATTGGTATCGCAGGAACAGGGCTATATTAGCTTATATTTGATCAGTTAACAGATCTGTAATTAAAATGATAAACGTGAAGCGCATTAAGATGCGCAAGTTTTCCCTCAGAGAAACTTCCTGTTTACACAAGGACAATTAACATTTAGCGGGTAATTTTAATGCAGTGATGAGAAACCATAACTATAATGAATGACAATAATAGATAATGTATTGATACTTTCTGAATTGAAAACTGAAGCTTATGCGTTAAAAGTTTGTACTCATCCGGTTAAAACTAATGTTCAGTTTCATATCGTTGTACGTTTGTCGGTTAAGGGAGACTTTCGTTAGTGCAAGAAGATAATCGGAATTGCTACTCAGGAAGAGCATACTGTAAACCTGTACTGTAGGGCTTAAGCTGTACGAGTATTGAGTAAGCTATAGCAGGAAAAAACTTCCGTGAGCAATTTTGTAAAATATACCTCCCTTGTCCGAGAAATACGGTTTCAAGTAAAATATATGTAGTGATATCATTAATCGCAATTTTTAATCTTTGTGTGATATAGAGAAATACGGTTGCAAATAAAATAGATAATGATGTCATTTCGTTGCTAAGGCAGCTCTTATGTCACTATAATTCTTTTAATGGCAATTTTTAATCTTTGTCTGATGTAGAGAAATACGGCTACAATTAAAATGGATGATGATGTCATTACGTTGCTATGGTCGCTCTGATGTCAATATAATTCTGTTAATAGCAATTTTTAATTTTTGTTTGATGTAGAGAAATACGGTTGAAAATAAAATAGATCAGTAATGCTTTCATGACGTTGGTGTGGCAACTCCGATGTCAATAGAATGCTGTTAATTAGAATTTTCTTATCTTTGTCTGATGCAGCTTCGATGATACAATGAATGCCGGGCGGACATTATTGATAGATACATTAGTTCTGTTTACTCCTTTTACAACTGCATGATATTCAGTTTGGACCGGTCAAACAGTCGTCAGTGGTAGACACTATACCTATGTGTTCTCTTTAACACAACAATTTCAATTGTATTTCAACATTAAAAAGGAAAACTTCCCTAAAATAGCAGGGCTAATGTAGGCGTTTTCTGAGAAGAAAAAAAATGACGTTCTGTTGACTAGATGTAAAACTCTCGGCTTAAGACACTTTTAAAGTGTTGTACAAAGTACATATAAAGTCGAGTCAATTGTCACAAATATCTCATTTAGCGCCCTAGAACTCTTCAGTTTAATGTTGTAGTACGAAAAATATGTGCCCTGGTAGAGAATAACGTTTGCACAGAGCTTTAGGCATATATTTATGTCAGGGATTCGAGAAGAACTAAGCAATTGTAATAAGCTGTTTGCTAATTTGCTTTAAAGAAACAAACACTGTATGTTAAAACTGTGAAACGCAGTTTGAATTGTTCTTCTTATGAGGTGTTGGTTATTAAACCCCTGAATGGGAAGCACATGCCTTTCACTTTTCATTTGATAGCGAAAACCTGAAGCGTGGTTAATTGATTCAAATGAAAGCTTTCAAAACGATCGTCTTGCAATTTTAGTTAGCTTTATTAAGCTTATCGTTATTGGAAGTGAAATCGGATGAAAATGAAAAGGGACGACGCGTGGACGCACTGTGCGCCTGAATTTTAAAACCAAAGAATAAGATTTAGATGTGACATTGTAAGGCAAATAAAAATTATTGGGGTACGTTTGGACGAACGATGAAAAGTGTAGTAAACAATTCCCAGCGGGTGAAAAAAATGAATAAATTAATATTCAACATATAAAACCCGTTGCACCTTAACCGCCAAATTAATTTCTCTGTTGCGAAAGAAAAAAGAAGAAGTAAACATTTTAAGAACATTGGCAACGTAGCTGACATGTACTCGTTTAGAAATAACGCTATATTTCGTAAGTGAACATGTCTATAGTTAAATGAGCGTCCTCAGATGGCCAAGTTATCTCTTGAAAATTTTTTTGTTTACACAAGGGCTGTTGATGTTTAGGAGGTGAATGTGATGAGAATATGATAAATGATCATGGCGATTTCCGTTTGAAACCAGGTGTTTCCGAGGAAAAAGAAAAGTGCGTGGCTTCGTAAAGCGAAAGTGGGCTTCTGGCCGTTTTTAACATACAAAACAGCTTCGTCAAAATGAACAAGAACTGCTGCGAAGTTTACTTTAGTGGTACAGAACTCTTCTTTCTTGTGTCATGCTGAATATTGCAGCATCGAAAAGAAGGAAGTTGAAAATGTAAATCACCTAAGATGTAGAATACCCTTAAAAGGGAGTTTGTCTTTTCAAATAGTGTCTTAGTAGCAATACCCAAATAGAAACATACTGACTTGCGAACCGAAATTGATTTGAAAATTTTTACTTATGTAGTTCACTTTTCATATCCTTTGAGGTTTCTTCATTAAACTGTTGGAAACCGTAATTCTCCTAATAACCGATCTTAATTTGTCGGTCGGAGTTGGAGTTTGCATGTTAAGTAATGGATATTTTAGCTGGCAGTCGTGATCAAACTTTTTCTAGCCAATTATTAGGGCGGGTCTATTTTAACGGCAAATGTGCGATGCTAACTTCTGACTTTAACAACACCATACAAACTCTAATTATGCTTTATATTAAAGTCTTATTCATAACACTCATATTCAGTAGTCTATATTGACTTCGCTTCTGTGCTGTTTATTTCGTCAATATCTCAGGGAAAGCATTTTATTTCTAAATTGTCAGTGTATTTAACAAGAAACTGCTAATTGGGGACAATTTTTTTACGTCTCCTACTGGAGACAGAACCGCCATTTTTAATTACTCATCCGAGCAAAGGACTAGCTGTTTGCAAAGCAGAGGCAGTATAACATCATTTCTCTATTATTCTTAAGACCCTGAATAGTGGTGGGGCCCCAGAGATCCCCCCGCGACCATCCGCTCCGCAGACAAGCGCTATACTGCCTGAGCTACTCCTGCTGCGGTAATTACCGGGAGGGGGGGTAATCAACAAAGTTTTATGCGGGAAGGCTCCGCCTGGAGGTCGGTCCAACACCTTATCCGGCTTTTACATACCATCTTTGACAGAAGAGGTACCCCTTTCCTACGCCTTCTTTTGACAAATGATACCCCTTTCTTATAACTAATTTAGAATTTTGCGTCCCTTTCAACCAGTGTAAAGGCACTGCATTTAAAATATGAATAAATCACAAAACCAGAACGTTTTCTCGACTTTTTCACAGCCTTAGAATTACTCTGTAAGCCCTTTTGGGCCTTTTTACGTACCGAAATAACCGATAACCGTACACTTTCACATACTTCAACCAGTAAAATCCCTACCCTATAACATACCTGGAGCCTGAAAAACGGTACCCCTTTCAGGCGGAGCCTCCCCGTATAGGCCATTGTACTGGGTATCCCCCCCCCCCCACCCCCGAGGGGTAAATAGTGGAAGATACCACTTAGTGATAGGTGCACAGTCTATCTTAAATTAGTTGTTACCGACGAACGTAAAGCCCTGACGAGTAAAACAAACCACCGGATGTTACGTTTTTACTTATAGTGGAGAGTTACATATCCGCAGTTTTTCCGCAGTACAGGTGTTCATACTATACCGGATAACACAAAAAACAATCCACTATAACGTGTATATAGTCTTAGTATTCCGCCCTTTTTGGTTTATTGCTGTTTTAGATTTTAAAGGTAAATGTAGGTAGACACCTTTCTAAAGTGCTTCGGAAATTGCCCTGAAAATTCTGTCGAGCCACCTTGAGAGTTCATTCAGTTCTCGGTGGACTCTTATTGTACCGTTGAACACCGATATAATGAGCCGTTTTATATCGAACAGCTCTTTTATGCGACAACGAATGAGATTTTTTACTCCAGTTGTCACAGGACCCCAATACAACATTTCCTATTATGCTAATAATGAAAATAAAAAATATATGCACAAAAGAAAAACAATTTAATGAGATTTTAATGAGATTTTTTACTCCAGTTGTCACAGGACCCCAATACAACATTTCCTATTATGCTAATAATGAAAATAAAAAATATATGCACAAAAGAAAAACAATTTAGAATTAAGGAAAAAGTCATTAGCAAACGGGGAGAAATTAATTGGTAACTATTATTACCCAGGAAATCCAGATGTTTATGCAGGAAGTTTTAATAATGCAATTCTCAAAATACTAATACAAAAAGTCCATTGCGAAGCAAATTTTAACATCTACTTAATATTTTTGGCTGTAGCCGATATGGCTATATACGTTTAGACCACTTTCTGTTAGCCTTCATATCACCTGTAACGAAGTGGTTAACTGAGAAGCGTTTCCCGACGTTTGTGTCTCAATTAGTTCTTTTGCGAGCTACAAAGTCAACAT